TGGCAGGGGAGGCGGAGCGGGGGCCTGCACCCCCCGGCCTGGGAGAGGGGGGACGGGGTGCGGGGCAGGCAGGCCGGGCTCGGGGGGCTCCTCCCGGGGAGGGGAGGATGAGAAGGGGAAGGGGGGACGGAAGACGCAACCCCGGAGGTGCTGAGGGAGGGAAGGGAAACTCGACAGCCCAGAGGGAGGAGGGGGCAGCTCGGGGCCGGGGGCGGGGAAGCAGAAGGGGCAGCTCCGGCAGGCAGGGGAGAGCTAGCCCGGGCTGCGTTCTGTGGCCCTCCCCTCCCCCTAGTGTCCCCACAGATGCGAACGCACAGACAGAACAGGGGTAAAACCAAATGCACATTTATTAAGCTCAAGACATGGACACCGACGGGCCAGGGGAGCGGATCTTTGGGGAGGAGACAAGGAGGTGCCGGGGAGCAGCACACGGGGCTCCTGGGGGGCTGGGGGTGGACTCCCGGATCCCAGGAGCTGGAGGCCTGAGTCCCTGGGTCTGGGATGCAGACAGGCTCTTTGGGGAATCGTCATTGCCAAGGCCTGAGGAGGGACAGCGGGGTGCAGCGGCTCCAGCCTTGGGGTGGGTGGGGCGGCTCATTCCGGGGAGTGCTCCCAGCCACGGCTGGGGTCCCCACCGCCTCCACCCGGTCCTCAGGCTCCCGCGCTCAGGCAGGGACAGCAGTGGAGGTTCCCCGGGGCTGGTTTTACACGCCACCACCGCCAGGGGCTGGGAGAAAAGGGGGAGAGGGTGTCAGCCACCAGAAGGGAGGAAGCAGTTACCCTCTCCACAGCCAGTGGGCTCAAGATCCCCAGTCACCATGGAAGTCGGACCCCCAGGGACTGTCATCCTTGGGCTAGCACTGGGGAGCTGTCTTGCCTCCCCACATTCTAATGCCTGGTTTATATGTGGCTTTGTGGCTGCTGTCCTGCCCCACAGTGTTGTCATGGAGGGGAACACACCTCTGATGGGGCTGGTGACGCTGGCCCAACCTAAGCTTTCTTGGGGTGTCCCCCTTCCAGAAAGGGGGTCTCCATCTCCCCTTCTATGCTCCCAATCTCCTTCTACACCCCCACTCCTTTCTTATATGCTGTATCCTGAACATTTGGATATAACAGGAATTCCCTCATTTCCCACCCACTCGGGACCGTCATTCATCTGGGATGGGTCAGAATCCTGTACATGTTCTTTAACTGTGCCCCAGGTGCCAGAGCTAAAAACCAGCTCCCAATCATCCATAAAGTGCCCCATTCATCTTTTGAAATTTCATTGAAAGAACGTGAAACAAAACACATGAAATTCCACACCCAGTTCCCCCAAATACTGAGTACCCCAAGCACCCCGCCCCCATTTTTAGTTATAAGAAATTTATAAGAAGCAGAGAGATTCCCATCTCTGGTTTTTAAAAGGCCCTGGAAAGGACACAATTCCACTAAAAACGGGTCAAGATATTTTTATATAATTAAAATTAACACCCCCAAGGAGTCACAATCTTTCATCTACAGCCTGTCCCCTCCTGCATCCTACATCCCTCTTCACCTCCCATTACACCCTCCATCCTCCGCTCCCACTACCCCCTCCTCCAACCTTCTTTCCCTCCACTCCATCCCCCCACCGCCCACCCCCTCCAGCACCTCCAGCCCTCACCTTCCATCCTTCCTGCACCCCCGCTCCTCCACCCTCCACCCCTCCAGCTCGTCCATCCTCTTCATTCTTTATCCCTCTTCTATACTTGCCATCTTTTCCCTCCGTCCTCATACTCCCTAGACCCCCATAGGTTCCCTTTTCCAACATGAATTTTAAAATCTGTATTCTATGCATCTCTCTTTTTGTTAGTTTGATAAAATTATTCAGAAGACTTTCCTCCCTCCCTCCTTTCCTTCTTTCCTTACTTTCCTTCCTTTCCTTCAGTCGTTTCATCCTAGATCTGCCCAGAAAGATCTAGATCTAGAAAGTCTGGGAAACACCCTGTCTACCTGTCCTCCCTGTTGCTCGGCTCTTTCTCATTCTGACTGGCAGATGTCCATCTTCCACACTGGGCCCCTCTCTTCACAGGCTTATGGACTTCTACTCTGAGAAATTCGTCCTTGCTTTTATAGGCTTATGTATTTGTTTCTGAGAATCTGTGGATTCTTTAGGGCATTTCACATCCCACTGCCACCCCATGGTTTAGCATCTTTTATCTGCGGGGTAGCAGCCTCCTACAGAACTGTCCTAAGTACATGTCTGGTCCATCAGAGAGACCACCCTTACTCTAAGGATTCTCCTTTCTACTCCCACCTAACATCCTCCCAGAACCACACACTTTCTCGCCCTCACCTGAGGAGGGAAGCTCCGATTTACAGGATTTGCATGTTGGGCTGTGGAGGTAAAGATGGGAGAGAAAAGCGTAAAGAGGTTTAACAGCCACAGGCTTTATGAGAAACATGTGATAGTCCCAGGGGGCCCTTCTGTTAGGGAAGCACCCTGGGGCCCCAGGCTGTCCCTCCCTCCTCACCCCTCTGTCCCCAATGCTGCCAGACCTCTCAGACCTCGAGTCTGCCTTCCTGCACTTCACCTTCTTGCCTGTTAGGAGAGAGAGACAGAACAAGGAGACAGGACACAGGACATGGACAAAAGCCCATGTGGGGATTGGAGGTGCCCAGGGACACCGAGGAAGCCCAGGAAGGGGTGACACTTACTGACGATGATGAGGATGCCCAGCAGGAACAATATGGTAGCCAGAGTCATGCCCACAGTCTGCACCGTGTCGTAGTCTGGGGAGGACATGAAGGACATCATGACAGGGGCGGCACCTCAGCCCCACCTGGAGCATCAGTCCTGCCTTCAGCCTGCTCAGCCAGGGGCCCAGAGGTCGGGGATGCTGCAGGCCATGCTGGGCACTCCTCCAGTGGGTTAATGTGAGGATCCAGAACACAGGCTTGGGCATTGTGAGCTCCCATTGACC